ATTTATATTATATTTGAATTATTTATTTAATAATAAATTGTTTTAATAATTCTTTAATTCATAAATTAATTAATAAAATATCCTGATTTGTGAAATTTGAAACTTGTTTTTATATTTCTGAAAATGTGTAAAATAAACACCTTAGAAATGTATTGTTCGCTTAGTTCAATGTATGGCACAATTGAACTTGCCTTTAAGAAGGCTTTTTCATAATTGGTGCTCTTAGATTGAAAAAGGCTAGGCTAGACTAAATTTTATAGTACTCAGAATCGTTGGGAAGGTAGCATTATTCATTATAATTATACTAGGAATACATGTTATGACAAAAATTATACAGTATGTTATTTTGTTAACGCATGTGAAATAACATTACATAAATTATAGTTTTTAAATATTATATGTGAAATCCATTGGCCGTAACGTTATTTTTGTCTCTTTCACAATGCCAAAGCTAGTTGAACATAACACTTGGACGAATCGTCGACTCACACGAGTTGACTCTAGTTAAAAATGCAAAATAAAAAAAAGAGGAAATTACACCCACACCTGAAATTAAATTTCCAATTTCAAAAATCCAATCACAAGTTTAATATTTCAAAAATCAGGTTTTAATTTATAATTTAAAAATATTTTTTAATTTTAATTTTTATATCATATACAATAAAATCATTTAAATCCAGTCAAACCCTAAAATCATTTGAACAATTCTTCCTCTCCACTCTCACCTCCAGTCTCTCAAAGTCGCCGCCACCGCCACCCCGGCAGCCACCGCGTCTTCCCCTCTATCTCGTCTTCTCTATCTCTCACTAGCCCCGGCAGCCTCTGCTTATCCCCCTCCTCTCCACTCTCATCTCTTCTGTACGAGGATCGTGGGTGACGCTGTCGGTGACGATTGCCAAAAGATCGCGTAAGTCCAGATCTCTACACTTTTTTTCTGTTTTCTTGCTCGATCTGTGACGCCGTCGTTTTCCGTTTCACTTTATTCTCTTCGCCTTTGTAGTCCCCATCGCCCCAACCCAGTAGCGACAGCCCCTCACAGTCAGCCACCGACGAAACGGCACAGTGCGACCCAGAATCTGTAGCATTTTCAGCAGCGCGGCGCGACCCCAAACCCTTTCTCTCTCGCCGCCTTCGACCCGGCTGGCAATTTGAGGTATTCATCCAATGGCGGCGGTTTGTGGTTTGGTTGCTTCTTGCCTGCTTGACTTCTGAAGGTATGGTGGTGGATTTTTTAGATGGGTTTAAAGGTGATGACGGTGACTGTGGTTTGATTGTGGATTTTATTGGATCTAGTGTGGTGATGGTGGTCGTTTTGTTTGCTACTGTGTGGTAGTATGATGCCGCTACGTAGTTGGTTTTTTCTTGGCGCTGTGGATCTGGTAGTTGCGG